GGCTCGTGAGGGGCTTGGGACGGCCACGCAGCGCCGAGCCCAGGTCAGGGCTCTTGGAAGGCTCCGGGGCGGCCCGAGGACCCGGCGCCGCCTGGAGGAAGTGACACTGGCTGGCACTGGCGAAGGCCCCGTGCCGCGGGCACGTCTGGCGTTCTGAGCTGCAGGGCAGCGCGGAGGGGTGAGGCGGGGGGCTGGCACCACAGCTCGCCCTCACGCCAGGCGGTCTCGGGGCTCAGTGCGCGGGCGCCTGCCAGCCGCCTCCGTGTTCCCTTGCGCCCAGCCCTCCCTCCCGAGCTGGGCATCCCTGGGGCCTGCCTGTGTCCACCCAAGGTCGCCTGCTGGGCGAGGGGCATCACAGGGTGGCCCCAGGGCCGGGGCCGGCCGCTGTGGCTGTCAGCCTGGCCAGTGCTGGCTTTCTGAGAGCCATTTTTATCCGCAAAACTGGGGTCACGAATGCACCCCTCCGGTGTGGTTGTGGAGAGAAAGGAGCCACGGTGGATCTCAGGCCCCTGCCTCCCCCCTCGCCCCACAGCCAGGCTGGTGTGATGGGGGGCTGGGTCCCTCCATTCTAGGGGAGAGGGCTTGGGGCCATGGGGGTCCCGGGAGACCCCCTGGGGTGGGCCTGGGAGGACTCTGGCAGCGTGACGTGGACGGGGCCCCCCGGGCCCCGGCAAAGGTGGGTGAGGAGGCGGGTGTGGGACAGTGGGGCGGGGGCTGGGCGATGGCCGCACCCCTGTTCCTCCCTGCAGAGAAGCAGCTCCTGCTGGCGAAGGAGCTCGGGGACCTGCCGGAGGCCCAGCGCGAGCGCATGCTTCGGGGCATGCCCTTGAACCTGGCCGAGAAGCGCCGCCTGCGGTCAGTGCCGCCCCCACCCAGGGCCCGGCCGCCGGCCCGGCGGGCACCGACTGGGCCTCTGTCCGCAGGGAGGAGAGCCGGAAGCTGAGCGGGAGGCCGGGGGGCCGGCGGGACCGCCGCGGGCCACCTTCCTGCTGCAGCCGGCTCCAGCTGGCCTGCACCCTGGTGAGGGCCTCGGGGCTGCAGGCCGGCCACCCCTCCCTGCCGGGGGGGCTCGCCCCACGGCTGGGGCTGGCCGGCCTGCTTCAGCCCCCCGTCCCGCAGGCCCTGCACAGCCTGGGGCTCGCGCTGCTGGGGGCGCTGCAGGCCCTGGCCCCCTGGCGCTACGCCCTGAAGCGGATCGGGGCCCAGTTCGGCTCGAGCGTGCTCTCCTACTTCCTCTTCCTCAAGACGCTGCTGGCCTTCAACGTCCTCCTGCTGCTGCCCCTGCTGGCCTTCATCGTGGGGGTGCAGGCCGCCTTCCCGCCTGCGCCCCCGGGGCCCCGCCCCCCCTTCACGGGCCTGGAGCTCCTCACGGGCGGGGTGAGGCCTGGGGTGGCCGGGCGGGGTCGCGTCCACCTCCCAGTGCCCTGCCCACGCCTGCCCCGTGCCTCCCAGCTCCGGGTCAACGGGCCGGGGCGGGTGCCCGGGCCTTTGCCGCTGTTTCCCCGCCCTGCCCCGCACCCCTGCTGGCGGGGGCGGGGGTGCCCCTGACCCGTGGCCTCCTCGGCGCAGGGCCGCTTCACGCACACCCTGCTGTACTACGGCTACTACAGCAACGCCACGCTCAGCCAGCCCTGCGCCGCGGCCCCGCCGGGCGGCCCGTGCACCCCCGAGGCCCGGGGCGTGCCCTACAACATGCCCCTGGCCTACCTCTTCACCGTGGGCGCCGCCTTCTTCGTCACCTGCATCACCCTGGTGTACAGGTGGGCGCCGATCCCAGCAAGCCGGCTCCGGCCGCCGCCCGCCGCCCCCTCCACTCGCCCCTGCCTCCCGCCCCGTCTCTCTCGGCGCCCCCAACCCCGGAGGCCCGGCTTGGGACAGGCAGGCAGGCATCGCTGAGGACGCCCTCCGGGGGGAAGGCGGAGGGGCTGGGGCTCGGGCCTGGGGTGCCTGTCCAGGGCTCACTGCTTGGGAGAAGCCGCCGGCGGGGTCCCCTATGGGGAGGTTAAGAGTGGGTGTTTGAGAGATGCTGGGGGGGCGGAGCCGCGTCTGAGCCGGGCGGGGCTGCTGGCAGGCGCGGGCGAGGGCGAGCGCCCTCCTGAGGCAGTGCGGTCCTGCAGGGCAGGGCAGCGGGCGACCTGCTGCCCGCCAGGGGCCTCGCTGTCTCCCCTGGGCTGTGGCCCTGAGCGCCTCACCCTGCCCGGCTCTGCCCCCAGCATGTCCCACTCTTTCGGGGAGAGCTACCGGGTCGGCAGCACCCTAGGGGTCCACGCCATCACCGTTTTCTGCTCCTGGGACTACAAGGTGACCCAGAAGTGGGCTTCCCGCCTCCAGCAGGACACCATCCGGACGCACCTCAAGGTGAGCCCTGCAGACGGCCACCCCCGGCCCCCCGTGTCCCCCAAGGGCGGCGACTCGGGGAAGGATGGTCAGCTTTGTGCTGCGAGTGAGGAAACCGGGGCGAGCCCTTGGCCGAGACCACAGGGGGCAGGCACAGGCGAGCCCACTGGGGTGGCCCCGCCTCTCGCGCCCTGGGGGAGGTCAGCCCCTGTGTATGTCTGTGGGAGCCGTGACGGGCTCCCTGTCCCCGCAGGAGCTGCTGGCCCCGCGGCAGCTGCGCCAGGGCCGCCAGAGCCTGTGCGGGAGGCTGCGGCAGGCGGCCGTGCTGGGGCTCGTGTGGCTGCTGAGCCTGGGGGCCACGCTGGGCTGCACCCTGGCCGTCTACACCTTCTCCGAGTTCATGGTCAAGGTACGGGCGGGAGCAGACGCCGGCTTCCTTCCCCGGGCACCCAGGGTCCTGTCTGCTGGCTGGAACCCCTCGCTCTCGCTTGGTGTCTCAAACTGTCCCCTGTTGTCTTCACAAACCACAAAGCACCCACAGCATGCATCGCATCCCTCCAGCCTGGCCTCCCCTCCCCCTCTGCTGACCTCGTTTCCGTCCCCAGTGTCCACTGAGGGTCCATCTTTCGGGACTGACTTGTGTGTGGAGTTAGTGGGCTGGTGTCCTTCTGCTTGTGCCTGTCCAGTGTCCCCAACACCATTTGCTGGGAGATTTTCCTTTCTTCCTGGTGGTCATGTCTCCGTCATAAATTAAGTGTTGCTATATGTGTGGACTTTTCCTGGACGCGCGATTCTATCCCATTGATCCATGCGTCTGTTTTCATTTCAGCACCATACTGTTTAATTTACTGTGGCTTCAGAACATAGTTTGAAATCTGATAACATGGTGCCTCCATTTTTTTTTTCCTCAAAATTGTTTAAATCACTTGTGGTCTTTTTTGTTTCTATATCCATGTTAGTATTTTTTGTTCTATCTAGTTCTATTTTTTGTTCTATCTAGTTCTATTTTTTGTTCTATCTAGTTCTATTTTTTGTTCTATCTAGTTTTCTAGTTGAAAAATACAGAAATTTTGACAGATTCCACTGAATCTCGGTATTTCTTTGGGTACCCAGTCAATTGGCCCCGTCCATGGAAATGGGATATCTCCCCATCTCTTTGTGACTTGTCATTTATCTTTTATCAGTGTCTTAATGTTTCTGTTTTATAGACTTTTCATCTCCTTTGTTAAATTTATTTTTAGGTGTATAATTCTTTCCCTTTTTTTTTGTAGAGGGGGCTATTTTCTTAGTTTCTTTTTCTTCTTGCTCATTATCTGCATGTCAGAATGCAACAATTTTTTTTTGGGTATTAACTCTGTAGCTACCACTTTATAGCTTTTGTTGTTTCTGATAATCTTTTTTTTTTTTTTGAGGGGTCTCTAGGGTCTTCTATATATGTTATCCACAATGTCTGCAAATAGTGATAGTTTCCTCTTTCTCCCCATCTGGATTCCTTTCATTTCTCGTGAATCACTCCAGCCAAAGTCTCTAACATCAAGTTAAAGTGGTGAGAGTGTACAGCCTTGCCTTGTCCTGTCTTAAGGAAGGACCTTCAACGTGTCTCGCGAGCGTGATGTTGGCTGTGGGTTTGCTAATATGGCCGTTTGCGGGGGCGTGATCCTCCTGTCTTATTTCGCTGAGTCTTGTCAGAGTGCTGCTCTCTCTGGGCAGGTGCTTTCCCGCACCTGTTGTGACCTCACGCTTTCCTCCCTTTTGTTGACGGGAGCGCATCCCCCAGCTGGCTGCTGTGCAGGCGCCCTGGCCCTGGAGTGCTCCCATGTGGCTGTGGTGTGTGGTCCTTGCACTGTTGCTGAATTCAGTGTGCTGTGTTTTTCACGTCCGTGTTCACCAGAGACACTGGCCTGAAGTTTCCTTTCTGGGATGTTTCTCTCTCTCTCTTTTGTCATTCTGTTTTTACCACCCACTGTTCCCTGCCCCCCCTTTTCCTGTGTGGTTTGAACATGAGGCTTCTGGTGGCCCTGCCTCAGGGGAAAGGGGTGCTGCCTGCCAGTGCTGTCTGCTCCTCCTGCCCTCACCCCCCAGTCCTTCTGCCCTGCCCCCCCGGCCCCCTTCAGTCCTCCCGCCCCTTTCCCACCCCCACCGGGGACCCCCTCCCTCAGTCCTCCCGCCCTCTGCCTGGGACCCATCAGTGGACCTGGCTGCGTTGATGGGGCCCTGTGCTGACTGCTGCCCCCCGTCAGAGCCCGGTGTCTGCCGAGAGGGAGGGGGCCCAGCTGGCCCTGCCCCTGGTGGTCAGCCTGCTCAACCTGGGGGTCCCCTACCTGTACCGTGGCCTGGCTGCCCTGGAGCGGCGTGACTCCCCCGTGCTGGAGGTGTACGTGGCCATCTGCAGGTGCGCAGCAGGTGGGCAGGAGGGCGTCCTGGGGTGCAGCTGCTGCGCGGCCCCTCCCCCAGCATCGCACCCTGCCCTCCGCAGGAACCTCATCCTCAAGATGGTCATCCTGGGGGTTCTTTGCTACCACTGGCTGGGCCGCAGGGCGTCCACCCTGAGGGACCAGGTGAGGGCAGGCCTGGGCAGCCGGGGGCCTGAGGCCGCCTGCAGAGGGCCCCCCCGGCCCAGGGTGGGTGTGGGGGTGAAGGCCGCGGCACAGTCGGCCTGGAGGCAGGCGGGGGCCCTGCTGGGGCGCGGGCTGGTGTTGGGGCTGAGACTCTGTCATCTAGTGCTGGGAGGACTTCGTGGGCCAAGAGCTGTACCGGCTCATGGTGATGGACTTCATCTTCACGCTGCTGGACACGCTGTGTGGGGAGCTCCTGTGGCGGTGAGGCCGGGCGGAGCCGGGGTCGCTGGGAGGGCGCAGGCAGCTCCAGGCCCTCGGTCCCCTTGACCACCAAAGGCCAACGGCTGGAGGGGCCTCGCTGTAGGCCGGGCGGGGCGGTCAGGAGTGCGCGGCCGGTCTGTGCGGTCAGGGGAGAGGGCAGGAGGCGAGCCGGGCCTGGGCGTGTCGCGGGCCGCGCCCTGCGGGGTCTCTTCCCCTTTGGGCTTCGTTGATAATATGTGACTTAATAATGGCGATAAACGGAGGCGTCAAAGCAGTAAAGTGCGGGGCAGGAGGCTCCGTGGTGGCCAGGGCCTCTCGCCAGGAGCAGACCTAGCCCCTCCTGCCTGCGGGGTGGACACGAGGGCATCTGGGCTCGGCCGCCCGTGTGACCTCAGGGCCCTGGGCACAGGCTCATCTCCGAGAAGAAGCTTAAGCAGAGGTGGAAGCCCGAGTTTGACATCGCCCGGAACGTGCTGGAGCTGATTTACGGGCAGACGCTGGCCTGGTGAGCGCTCCCCGGCTTGAAGCGGGCGCAGGCTGAGCCCCGGCCGGGCCTTACCAGCAAGGCCCTGGGCTCCCACAGGGGGACGCCCCACCTCCTGGGGCCTCAGGCCGCTCCCGCCCCTCTGCGCCCTTCCCCGGGCCTGAACCCACCCGGCCTCAGGGCGGGCACAGCGAGGGGCCCGCCCCAGCCTCTGAACTGCGGCCCCCACCCGCCCAGGCTGGGGGTCCTCTTTGCACCCCTCCTGCCTGCCTTGCAGATCATCAAGCTGCTGCTGCTCTTCTACATCAAGAAGGTGAGGGTGCCGCCGGCCCGGGGTGCCCAGGGGCGCAGCAGGGCTGCACCCGAGGGACAGGGAGCGACCCACGGTCCCCACGGGCACCCTTGGGCACTGGTTGCTGGGGGGCAGCCGCCCTGACCCCCCCGCAGGAGGCGCCTGGGAAAGAGCCAGGCGTCCGGGCCTGGGCCGGGGTGCTGGGGGCTGGGCGCTCTCTGGCCGCCTCGCCCTGCCCCTCGGAGGCCGGGGCCGGTGGCAGAGCGGAGCCTCCGTCCCCAGACCAGCCTGATGGCCAACTGCCGGGCGCCGCGGAGGCCCTGGCTGGCGTCGCACATGAGCACCGTCTTCGTCTCGCTGCTGTGCTGCCCCTCCTTCCTGGGGGCCGCCCTCTTCCTGTGCTACGCCATGTGGCAGTGAGTGGCCGGCCGGGCGGGCCCGGGCCGGGCCGGGGGCGGGATGCCGGGCGGAGGGGTCAAGCCGCTGTCCGCCGCAGGGTGAAGCCGTCCAGCACCTGCGGCCCCTTCCGGACCCTGGACACCATGTACGAGGCGGGCAGGGCGTGGGTGCGCCAGCTGGAGCAGGCGGGCCCCAGCGTGTCCTGGCTGCCCTGGGCCCACCGGCACCTGGTGGAGAGCACCTTCCCCATCTACCTGGCGTCCGCCCTGCTCATGTGCGTGGGCGGCGGGGCTGGGGCCGCCCCCCCCCCCCCCCCCGTGTTGGCCGCCCTCCTGAGCTGAAGGTCCTGTCCCAGAGCCAGCCCGCCAGAAATTCTCGTGGAAGGTAGGGTCCCCGCTTGACTGCCGTCTCCCGCAGGGCCGTGATCTACCTCCACATCCAGGTGGTGAAGGGCCAGCGCAAGGTCATCTCCATCCTCAAGGAGCAGATCAGCAACGTGAGTGCCCAGGCGCCCCGGGCTCTGGAAGGGCGCCAGGCCCCGCGGGGCGCCCCCCGCCGCTGGCTCGCCTGCTCGGGCCTGGCCGCCTCACCTGCGGGCGCCGTCGCCGTGCGGAGGGCGCTGCCCCGGGCCCAGCTCCACGTGGACGCTGCCAGTTAGTGGCACGGGGGGTTGAAGGAGGCAGGCAGGTGAGAGCTGCTGTCAGGTGACCCGACGCGGGCGGTGTCGCCCGAGGTCCGAGGGGCGCGACCCTCCACGCTGGCTCTGGGGAGCCCGGCGGCCCCGTTTCCCTTTTCACCTTTGCTGCTAAGAAGCTCGGCTCCGCCCGGGGCCCCCGCTTGGCCTGCCCTGTTCTGGGTGTCCCCCTAAACGTTTTGCGCTCGTGACGGTCAGCCCCCAGGCGCTCCCCGAGCGCCACCAAAGCAGGCCGTACTGGGGGTCAGCACATGGACCACTGCTCTCTCAGCCGGTGTGTTCTGGCCTTCTAGGAGGGGGAGGACAAAATCTTCTTAATCAACAAGCTTCACTCCGTCTACCAGAGGAAGGAGAGGGGCAGGTGAGCAGAGGGGGAGGGCCCTGGGCGGACAGCGGCTGGCCCCGGGGAGACCTGTGCCGCGGAGGCCCCTAACCTCGAGAGTCCCCTGCCTGCCCTCCCCCACCCCCTCGCCAGGCGCTGGGGTCACTTGGGGAGGGGGAAGCTTTTCATTTTGGCGACAGAAGGAAACAGCTGCACTCAGGGCAGGGCTGGCTGGGCCGGTCAGGCGCCGGCCGTCCTCAGGCCCTCCCCCCTCCTGCTGCCCCGAGATCGCTCCCCGGGCCGTCGCCCACCCTGTGCCACCAGCCCTCCACTCAGCCGGCTGTGGTCGAGCCCGGCCAGGGAGAGGCCTGGGGGGGCAGGTTGGGGCCTGCAGGTCTGAGCCAGGACCCCGCCCGGGCGGCCAGACCCAGCAGAGCCTCCTGGCCGCGGGAGGCTGCGGTGGCCGGGGCGCCCTGGCTGACGCCCTTTCTGACAGGGCTGGCAGGACCCAGGCCGCCGAGCCGCCCCAGGACGCGCTCGCCGACGTGCTGGGTGCCCGCTAGGATGGCCCGGCGTTCCTGTTTGGCACACTGCCGGGCCCTGTGCCGGGCCCCCTGGAGAGATGGCCCGAGGCAGGCTGGCCTGCCTGGGCGGCCCCCGGTGACCTGCCTGGGACACGGAGGAGGCGCGGGACTCTGCAGCCCACACACGCTGCAGCCAGAGGATGCGCGACGGGCGCCCGGGGCGCTCCCCGCTACGTTATTTATTCCAATTAAAAGTGTTTTGCAGAACGGGAGCCCGTGCTCCCATCCCTCTCCGGGACCCTGAGTCCCTGCACACCCTCCTGTTTCTCCTTTGGCTCTGCCAGACCTCTCTCCTATGGCCCCTCCAAGGCCCCCAGGCCCCCTGAAAGCCTGGCGACACCTCTAAGGGGCGCCCCAAGTGCAGCTTGGAGGGCCTGGGCGCCTCTGCTGCTCCCTCTGCTGCTCCCTCTGCTGGCCGAGTCCCAGATGACTGGTGACGGGGGCTCTCAGCCCCACCCCACCAGCCTGGAGGCCCTGAGGGGTGCCCGCTGGGCCTGGCTAGACGGCTGGTGGGGAGGAGCCTCCCTGTCGGAGGGGCGGGGCCTAGAGGGGCAGGGTGTCTGGCTGCCGGTGGCTGGCGTCCACCCTGTCTGTCCGAGGAGCCTGTGAGTGAGAGGAAGGGGGGGCTGCCCAGCCTGACGTCCCATTGCAGGAGCTGGGGAAACTGAGTCAGAGAGTGGTGATGGGCCCCACCTCTCATCCCAGAGGAGGACGAGACCAACACTGTTGGAGGGGTGGACACTGCCCATGTCCAGTCTGACCTGGCACCCCACGGGGGGCCCGGAGACCGCAGGGGTCAGGCGGGCCTGGCCGGGCCTGCTCTGCTGCCAGACACAAGGGCATGGAGCTGTGACAGGTCCCGGCCGGCGACGTCCCTGCAGTCCCGTCCGCAGCCTTGGGCCCCCGAGGCCCCTCCCCGTGGCCTCGCGCCCTCCAGCCACAACATTTGCCAGCCTTCTGCGATGGAGGCTGTGGCCGGGAGCCCGCTGGGCAGGTTCTGGGCCCTGCACGTCTGACCGCCCCGTGCTGACCCAGCCGTGATGCGGCTCGGGCACTGCAGGCACCACGCAGGGCAAACTGAGTTTTGCTGCGAAAGAGACACAAAAGCGCCCGGCGAGGAGGCGGCGGAAGGGGGCTGGGGGGCACGTCGCCCCCTGCCCTGCGCTGGCGCGCCCGGCTGCCCAGCGCAGCTCTGGGGGGCTGGCGTGGGGCTGCCCTGGCACCGGAGGGGGCTGTCCCTTCCAGGTCGTTCCTTCCACGCGGCCGCCAGCGCCCCGGGCCCAGGCGGGGCGGCCCCGTGGGGGCTCCCGGGCACGGCGTTGGCTTCAGTGGCGCACTGCCCGCGGCGCCGGTCAGCACACGGGGCTGGGGAGCGGCTCTCCTTGGACCACCCCAGAAACTGGCGTGCTCTCGGCAGCCCTGTCCTCGGTCACCGAGTGGGCTCCCGCGCTCGCCCCTGGGCCCGCCTTCCTCCCGAGGGGTGGCCAGATGGGGAGTGCTGACCTGCCGTCTGCATTCTGGGCTCTTCTCGCCCACGCCTGCCATCTCCCGTCGCCAGGGCAGCTGCTTGGGTCTTCACAGGCTGTGTCCCCTCCTGCCCTTCACTTCCCCTTCACACCGAATTCCGGGCGGTGCCTCCTCCACGAAGCCCACGGCTCCTGTGGTCAGTCTGTAGGAGCCTGCGGTCAGCCCCCGGGTGGGCTGCAGCTCTGCGTCCTGCAGGGACTGGGCCGGGCAGGCCGGACCCCTGTAGAGCTGCCGCACCGCATGGCCGCCTCCAGGTCCGCACTCGTTGGCAGTGTCCAGTGTGCTCTGTCCACTTCTCAAGTTTCACTCGTCCATGTCTTCTGCGTGTGTCCCACCCAACAAGCTCCTTCTCAGCTTCCCGAGGGGTGGGCTGGAGCCTGGCCCCAGCGGAGGACCCGGGAGGGAGGGTGAGCTGGCCGGGGCGAGGCGCGTCTTCAGGGCCCGCGGGCAGCTCGGGGGGCGCCGGAGACAGCTGACCACCGGCCGCGCGCCGAGGACTGGATCCAGGCAGCGCCCAGCTTCCTCGAGGTCCCC